AATATTTATTCAAAACACCAAAAATCCTGACCAATTTTTTTTTAAATCTTAGTTTTTCTCATATACACAAATTCTGTCTTTATTTTTTAGGGCCTTACAATAAGTAGTTAAATCTGAGAACTAAAATAATTATTTATTACTCAGAGGAGAATTATTTTCAATAAGTTATTATCAAATAAGTGCTAAGTCAGCTCTACGTAGCCTTGATTTGTTTTCCTGTAAGTAGCCTTGCATCATATTGTATTTACTTTAGTAAAAAACCCATTTTAAAATTTAACAAGTTAGAGTATGACATTCGGCTATGTCGAATCCTAAATACCTTTCACCTGTTAGCTACTTTTTATCAAAACCATTCTAAATATTTTTAGATACGTATTTAATAAATTGTGAAAGTTTAAATTTGCAAAGTAACGCAACTCGATATGGTTTATCAAATAATGGAGCTCCTGGTCAATATGGAATTGGTATAAGGAATACTAAAATTAATTACTCTGCAGCATTATTGAGAAATTCGATTTCATCACAATAACTCGAACATCATCGTTTTGAAACTATGACAGGCGGTGATAAGTACTTGAACTTATTTCAAAAGAAATCCATTGCCACAAACTCATTTAAAAATATTGAAATAGGAAAAGGTAAGCATCACTATTTATAACATAAGGCATAACTGTTAAGCTATTAAAACTGTTAAGCAAGTTAACGGTGATGACAAAATGCGAAATACACATAAACACTATTATCATGTTTTCATTGTGTGATAATAGTGTTTCTGTTAAATTAGTGCTTGATTGGATACATTATTATCTTACGTTATGTATAATTGTAAAATTTGTTGTAAGAAATTGTTTATAAGATTTTAAACAGATAACTAAGCTAATACAATAATATTTTAGCATTAAAACACTATTAGTATTAGGACTTTAATGTATATTTTCGGATAATTTGGTTGATTTCCACTACTTAGTTTTAGCGTAAGCCTGTTTTACACAGACAGAATTCATAAGGATCAGGAATATATACATTAGACTGACCGAATCTTATATGGGGAGAAATAAATGTCGGAATCTTCTTCGTCTTAACCCCACAAAATGATTCCCCTTTTCAGATATTGAGATAGCCGAAATTTGAGCTCGATTAAAATAAGTTAACACGTGCTCAAAGTTTGAAAAAATCCAAATTTTCCAATAAAAATATACACGCCTGGTACCAAATTGACACCAAATTTTTCAATAACATCCATTGTCAAGTATATACATACATACAATAACAACATGTAATATAGACCACGCAACTTTGTCGACATTGCAACAATTCGTTGTCGCAAACTAAACTTTATACACATCCGTTGTCTAAATGTTAACAAACGTGGTAAGCTCACTATTTACAACGCATTTTGAGCTTACTATATTTGTTAACTTTTAGACAACGGATGTGCATAAAGTTTAGGTTGCGACAACGATTACGGTATTGCAAGTGGCCCCCCCGAAAAACAATTTTGACAGTCATAACTGCTTCAAAAATACGAGTATAGCAATGAAATTCGACATACGAGCCAAAATGTTTCTACTAAAATTAATGAAGATCGGTCCATAATTGACCCATATATGTTCATGGTTTAAAAGTTGGAAAAAAATATTTTGTTTTTAAAAATTAATATTTTGTTAATTCGAAAGAGCACATCCACAATTGACTTAAGCCCTATTACAAATATACGGCATATGTTTGATGGTTACTTTTTTTGTATTTTTTTTTTTTGTATTTAAGGACTTAAGAAAGTGGATTTATTAAGTTTTAAATTTTTACTAAGTTTTAAATTTTTTTAATAAATCGATTCTTTCGAAAATTTCGGATAAACGAACATAGCACTATATGGCAGACAGTGAAAATAAAGCTAAAATAAAGGGTATAATAAGAACATGTAAGATGTATAGTCGGGCATGGTCGACCATATGATAACCTACACTGAAGTGTATGTTAAAAATATATATATATTTCTTATAATAAAACATTTTACCTTAATTCCGAAATATTTTAATACTTTGTTGACAAAAGAAAGTGATTTTGTGGAAAAGGGGTTATATGGGGGTAAGGTAAATATGGGCTTATCCGTTAGTGCGATTTAACTTTTACAACTTTTTTTTCAGTTTTAATTTCAACCAACAATATGTAATTTAATGTAAAAAAATATACATATTTTTTGTTTATAAAAAAATTATTCTTTTCGGGATATTAAATGTATGCCAAAAAATTATAAAATATAATGTTAAGTGATAAAAAATATGTACTTAAAAGTGATGTTATCTTTGAATTTCCGCCAACAAATTTTGAAGTTTTGAGAGAGAGAGAGTAAAGGTCCAAACACATACAATACTTTACGACGAACTGCGACTGATAGCTCGTGCTTACTGTATGTATTTAAATGAGAGCGGTCACAATCAATACGTCAAACTTGTGCACATGAGATTTGTGTGTGAAAAGCACCATTTTTAAATTAAATATTTTTTTATATTATATATTTTATATTGAATATTTTTTATATTATTAAAAAAATTTAGTTATTTTTTCATACTTTATCAACGCAACGATTGTGCATTACCTTTTTTACGTTGCGTAGCTATCAGTCGCAGTTTGTCGTAAAGTATTGTATGTGTTTGGACCAAGAATGTTAATTCTTGCAAGTGTGTTGGATTTGCAGCATACATCGGCAGAGAGCAAATTTTTTCTGCCAGCAACTCAACTAACTTTAAATGCATTAAAAGTCGACTTTTTGATCAACTAGTTATGGTTGATTCTTGGCTTATTTTTAATGGAGTCAACTGACTATTTTAACATAGCGATGTCCTAGGCAGTAGTCAATTGCCCGACTTTGCATGACTTTTCAACTAACTTAAAGTCAGTTACTTAAAAATTATCTTAAAGTTAACTCTTTATTAACTAACTTAAAGTTAGTTGCAGAAAAGTCAAGTAATAGTTTTATTTGGTATTACCTACTGTACATTTTAACTAAATATAAGGAAAATTTATTTAACTAAGTATTAGTAATGTAAATTAAAAAAATATTCTATAAAATCATAGTTTTTTTCTTCTTTGATAACACTGTGTGACACTCAAAAATACTCATTACGCGATATAATGATTTTTATAGACCTAGATGAGTAGATAATTTTACCATTTTTAGAATCTTCAATATACCCTAAAAATCGGAAGATATGACGCTTTTGTTGACTAGACAGAACAAAAAAATTATATCTCAAAATTTTCTTAATTGATTTAATATTTTTCAACTGTTTTGAAAAAAGTTTCCTTTGTCTTTTTTAAAAAGTATACACACTTTTATATTTTTTACGGAAATGTGTAAAATATTTAGATCTAAATACAAATTTTTATATATTTTTTTTTAATTTTTTTACAATTCAAGATCATTTGTTTGAAAACATATTTTTTAAATATTTTTTATTTTAGCCCATATTTTTATGAATAAAATAAGATATGAAACGTTGAAATAGTAATTTTTTTATGTAAAAAAATATAAAAATTTGTATTTAGATCTAAATATTTTACACATTTCCCTAAAAAATATATACTTTTCAAAAAGTACACACACTTACTTTTTGAAAAGTACAAAGGAAACTCTTTCCAAAACAGTTGAAAAATATTAAATCGGTTAAGAAAATTTTGAGATATAAAGTACTGTAATCTACTCTACTAGACCTACCAACTTTACTAGGTCTCGCGATGAGTGTATTGATTTTTTGTAAAATTGTCACACCATGTAATTATGAAAACATGTTAAAACAGAGAAATCTGAATGAAAATTAGTTCCAGTGCTTATCCTTGAAGCTATTTACGGCTCAAGTTCATTAGATCTACTAACTAGGTGAAAATACTGTGGATATAGACAAAATATAATAATAATAATAATAATAATAATAATAATAATAATAATAATAATAATAATAATAATAATAATAATAATAATAATAATAATAATAATAATAATAATAATAATAATAATAATAATAATAATAATAATAATAATAATAATAATAATAATAATAACAATAATAATAATAATAATAATAATAATAATAATAATAATAATAATAATAATAATAATAATAATAATAAACATGTTAAACAGAGAAAACATGTTACAACAGAGAAATCTGAATGAAAATTAGTTCCATAATAATAATAATAATATTAAACAGAGAAAACATGTTACAACAGAGAAATCTGAATGAAAATTAATTCCAGCGCTTATCCTTGAAGCTATTTACGGCTCAAGTTCATTAGATCTACTAAGTAGGTGAAAATACTGTGGACATAGACAAAATGAAATGCATTAGATGATAGTTAGTCTTTAAAAGTTGTTTATTTATGTTGCCAAATACCAAATAATGGGACAGTTCTGTATAACATTGTAGTTAGCTTATAGTCAATCTGTAAAAATAAACAAAAAGTGAATTATTCTCGTAGTTGACTACAAAATTGCTTATTGGTTATTAACACCACTTCATTTTGTGTTTTTGCAATTCATGCACTGAAAGAAAAGTTTTTAAAAATTTTTAGTGTAGTGACTACAGTACTTTACATTGTACTGATTTTGCATGAATAGGATTTGAAAAAATTAATTCACCACCCATTGTCATAATTTGAAAAACTGTTTTCTAAATGTAAAAAAAGAAAAAAATTCAAGATATATTAAATTAATCCTTGAATATAATCAAATTAGCAATTTAATTAATTTGAATTAATTCCTGATTATTTTTAGATTAATTTTAATCTTAATCAATTAATAATCACGAATTTTCTACCAGAGAATAAATTAATCATTACGATTATTTATGAAAAACAATTTAATTGATTATTAATCGTAATCGCAATTTTACAGCTATCCTTTAATGTATAATTTCACAGTGAAAAGTATTTTTTGGTTATTAAAATAATTAAGAAGTTTTCCATTTCTCTCAAAATATCTAAGTACTGTAAAACAATTTATTTTTTACAACATACATAGCTATGTACACGTTTTTTATTTATACTTTAATTAATTTCGACTTTCTCCTATATAAACGGGTAGAATTTGAAATACATATATATATACATATATATACATAATTATTAAATATTGTAAAAATTCACGTAATAAAAATATATAGGAGTATAAAGTAGTTCGCCATTACAGTTAAACATTACGAAACTTTAATTTCAGTATTAGATTTACCAGTAGATTCCTAAAAAGAGAAAATTTAAATTGTCTAAAGAATCTAAAAAAATATTTTGATCATTTTGCAACTTGTTCAGAAAATTGTAAAACTCACAGTTCTTGATTGATTTATGTTCGGATTCGGATTTGAAGTATAAATTTGCTTACTTTTATTATACTTTGATTCGTCTAAAAAATCATCAACAGAATTAAACATATCGTTTTGTGTTTCGTTAGCGGTTGGTGTGCTTGAAATGGTTGGCTCGGAGTCTATTCTATTTTGGGCAATGTCATCGGTGTTGGTTGACAATAGGGCCGATGTGTCATCATCAACGGGCTCATCGGGTTTTTTAACATGTAACATATCAATTTCTGTTAGGGTAACTTTGGGTTCCTAAAACGATATTATAGGTATATATTTGTTTAAAAAAAATATAATTTATTGATTTTACCTTTTCTAGTGCTGCATCTGATACTTGTAAATGATAATTATCCGTACAATAACTTCGCAACAACTCAATACCTTTCTCACGACAATGTCCATAACGATTTTCCCACGCATCCAATAACCGATTATAGTATCGAGGATGTTCGATAAATTTCAAATACCTATGAGTATCTGGCGTTGGAAATATACGTTCCAAAGGGCTACAACGATTTAGTTCATCTTCCGATACCAACAAACATCTTACATCATCCGGATTAAGGTTTTCCAATATGGCATCTAAATATTCTTCACGATATTCTATAGAACGGTTCGTAAAGTGATTATGTTTACGAATTTCATCATTTCTAAGACAAGTGGTAAAAATGCGTTTATCATGACAGAGAGGAGCTTTTAATTTCAATGTCTCTAATATCTCTTTCTGAAATTTCTCATTTAATTTCGGGGGCACCTGATACAAAGCTGTATTTAAAAGCGACTGTATTAAAGGACCTTTTACATGCAAATCCAGGGGTAATTCTGAATGTAATGAAGGCGAAATGTTAATTTCCAAAAGCCAGGGTATAATATTTTCATCCAATAAAACATCAAAACCAAATAGTTCAAAACAGTTGTAACGAAAATTAACATTTTGCCGATATGTGCGATTAAGACCAGCTTCACCACTTATAATAGCTCTGATCACAAGATTACGTAGAGTGGCCCATAAGCGTTTAGTATTAACCCCACGTGCCTCCAGACAAGACCACAAAGATTGCAATGTCCATTTATGACCCTGACAAGCATTGACGTCTTCATTTTTCGAATAGTTTTCCGAAAATTTATTTATACTATAATTTGTCAGATGCATGCAACGTTCATCGAGATTATTTAATTCGGAACTATATTTAACTGAAATTTCAATAAAATGTTATTGGTATAAAAAAACTAATTTTATAGGTAAATACATATCGTTAGTATATTATTGTTTTGACCCACCGACCATTTTCCAAAAAAAAAAAAAATAGTTCTATATTTGACTGCGCCGAATTTATATACTCTTCACAAGGTTTATCAATTATTGGTGTTTTAAATTATTCGAATAAAAATTTACATTTTTTCGTTCGATTCATTTCAAAAAATTATTCGATTATTCGAAAGAATTTCATTTTTTAAACTTGTTACAAACAAAACCAGAAACATTAACGTTTTTATATGAAAAAAAAAAAACATGCAATATTTTTATAAAACTTAGCACAACTCGTAACCTTTTTCATCGATTTTTATAAATTAACCAGAATTAGAAACCCAACTTAATGTGCTTATATCAAAGATAATAAAAGCTAAAGTTACTGCTTAATGGCAAACGTAGAGCATTATGAAAATTAAAAATTGTGAAAAAAGTGTGAGTTTTTTTACTTAAATGGCCGTAACTCAGACATGTGATCATAAATTTTTAATGTAATTTTTTAAAAGGCAACACTTGTATCTCTAAAACAAAATATCCAATTCGAAAATCGGTTGCAAACTAGCAAACTAATACTTTTTTTTAATTAAAACTTCAAAAATAGCTCTTTTTCACATCTTTTGCTCTTAAAAAGTAACTAAACGAAGTGATCAGGAAAAATTAAAAATATATTCGTACTCTGTGGACTATAACGAAATGGAATTGGTATATGTGTTACCATAATGTAACAATAATCTAACTATAATATAACTACAAAATATGTTTTCAGATATACCTGCCTTGAATTGTCAGACTAATATCAAACAAAAAATAAAAGTACAATTAAAATATAATATCAAAAATTAAAACTTAATTGAAAAATAATTTAAAATCAATTTAAAAACTATAAAGGGTAATTTCATAAAATTTCGAAACAAAACAAAACAAACAAAATTTCTAAATTTCTTGAGGTTTAGATTTTATAGAGGTTCAAAGTTCATATTTTTTAAGATTTTATTCAACAAGCATTAAATTTGACAGGGTATATTTTCTAAACTATTTATCCGATTTTAATCGATTTAGTAGCCAATTAAAGTCTCGAGAAATCCAATGTTATTGGTTATCTAAACATGAAACAGAATCCTATTAAACTATGAGACGAATTAATTATCAAAATGAAATCTTGTAGGATGAATATCGTCATTACATTCTCAGTCTTTTTGGACTTTTCAATGTTAAAAAATAATTAAAACTTTTATTTTTAGAGTATATTTTTTAAATTTTAAGAGCATAACTTTAGTTATGACTACATATTGAATGCGCTTAAAATATTTGTTTAGAGCATATTTTTGTTTTCTCTGCTTATTAGCTATTTTTTGTAGAAATTTTCCAAATAGTTTATATACATAGCTATTTCTTCAATCTTTCGGAAAAAATATAAAAACAAATTTTGGACTAAATTATTATTTTTTTCTTTTTATCTTTTGTTCAAATGAAAGCTTAGGTCATTTCCTTTAAGAGCTTTTTGGCCGCTTAGTGGGATATGTACCAAAATAAATGTTTTGTAACACAAGGTATGGCAAAATGTTTAAATTTGGCAAATAAAGAAATATAATAATTTCCAAAAATGTGACTTGTGCATAGTTCTGTGCGAAATTAAATGAAAAAGTGATTTTATTCTTGAGGTTAACATCTTGGTGGTATTACAAAATCGACGGTATGTGATTTAAGTTCCAAAAGGTTAATTTGTCTAGTTTTTCAGTATATGTTTCAATCTTAAGTTTCAGAATGTCTAAAAATTTATCTGGAGTTACAAAACATGTACATATTTTGATTTGATTTGATATCGCATCCCATTAATTTCTTAAAAAAAATCTAAGTTTATTTTTTGAGAGAAAAATAAAGAAAATAAAAAGGGCCCAAATTAGACGAAAAATTTAAAAAAATGTTTAATTTTGCAAAAAAAAAAAAAAAATACAAAAACAAGATCTATAATTAAAATTTCATAACTGAGATTCTATTCAAACTTTGTTATGAATCCTTAACCCATAATAATACTTCTTACATCAAGTTGATGGTCTGTGGTAATTTTTCTATTATTCGACTTAAAACCTTTAATTGAGTGGACTATAAATGTATTAAAATGTATAAAAAGCACACATTTCCTATGGAAATTTTAAATTTAGCTAGATAAAAACTGCCATATCTTCTGAACCCATTGAGATCCCAATCTGAAAATTTTGCATTGCAAAAAATCCCTATTTAAAAAAAAATTAAGAAAAACAAAATACTATTTTCAGGATATTCAAGGATAAAAGACATTAATTTTTAAGGTCCTTGAGGAAATGGCTTCATAGCTTAAACGAAAAAGGTTGATTTTGCACGAGACTTTTGTGCCTGCCAAATTCCGCTTAGATAAAACATTCTAAAGTTGATACTGTCATTCTTATTTCCTTTAAAAATCCTCTAATAATTTAAAGGATTATTTTCCTTCATTAAAAAGTCGAATTTTTTGTTCATTTTAACTCATTTCATTTCAAAGATCATTTAATTGTGTCTCTGGAATAATGACTAATAGATAGGTCTGGAACGGGCGGTAGTGTGAAATCATACAAATGATAAGATTAACTTTTTATTATAAAAATTATATTAGAATGAAAGAGATCATTCACAGTAATATAATGGGTTCTAAATCAAAAAAATCCGATATAAACTCTCAAAGATATAAAGGTTCAAAGTTTTATTTTTATTTTTTGTAGTTTCCGAACAAATTAAAATCGCCATAAAAATCGCGTTTCTTCAAATTTTTGAAAATAAACAACGGAGTTGTTTTATTTTCTACTTCAAGAATATGAAGGAAATTGGAAGACATGAGGTCAAAAATTGTCAGGTTTTCTGTGTTCTTTCCTGAAATTCATGATATATCATGAGCATTATAAATGTGACAAAAAATGGACGGAAAAAGGTCATTGCATTTCATTATTCGGATTTGTTGTATTAAGCATTTTCTTACTCAATATCATTTTTAACTTCTGAGGTTACACCTATTAATATGCCGAATTTTGTATAAATCGGTAATTATGTAGTGAAAGAGTAAAAAAGAGTCTCATATATATTTATTATTATATATTATACGTTTCGAAGATGTAATGTGTCGTACTGTTCATTCCACAACATTCATTATAACAGATTTCATTAAAATTGGATTAGTACTTTTTTGTATGCTTGAACATAAATTTGTCAAATATTTGATAGGTGTGAACGTAGCTTTAGCATAGAATATTACCGTAGAAGGCCAACTCTCCCGTTTGTGAAAATTAAAAAATATATTGCAAATTTCGAATTTAAAATATTGAAAATTTTTAGTCGTTGTTGTGTTTTGATTGATGGCGTGTCATAATGTCTAGTGACATAATGTCCATGGACGTTATGACACACTAAATTGAGTCATAGTGTCCATGGACGTTATGACAATTTCAAAATGTCACAATGTCTATGAGCAAAATGACATAAAGTCCATGGATTTAAAAGAGCCCATCCAATCATCAAAAAAGGTTTTTTAGTTAATATAACATAACAAACAGATGTGTTTAATAAATGTTTTTAGATAATGAGCAAAATAAAAGAAATCCTTAAAAATATAAATTTAAATGTAAGGAATTTTTTTCAAAATTTATAAATAAAATTTTTTAATACATACATTCTTAGAGTTACCCACCAAAAAATTACCTTAAAAGGGGTTAAAATGCTAATATCTACTTTAACAATAGTATTTTAAGTGACAAATAGGGAGTTAGGTAAGTTCTTACTACGATCGCTATAAACAAAGCTCTAAAAGAATTCATTCCCTAATTCTTTTTTATTTTAACGAATTAATAATTCTTCAAACTCATTCCCTTTCATTTAATTCGTATAATTAATTCTTAAAGCTTTCGATGTAGTTGAATTAATTCTCTAACGAATTAATTCCTATAGAATATAAAATTTTTTCTGAATGAATTAATTTTGTTTGTATTCAATCTGTTACAAATTGAATTAAAATAAATTTCAACAATTCCTATTGATTTTTGAATTTCCTCTGAATGATAAAAAATTTATTTGAATTCAATCTATTACAAATTGAATTTAAAAAATTGTTCAATGTTCACACAAAAAATTTTACTCCTCGAACCAAAATTAGCGATTTTATTGACAAAAAATAAAAGCCCTATCTACAAAAACATGTTAGGTTTCACTATTAAACAATTTGTTTATTTATTACAAATAAATACCGTTGATAGAAACAAACTTTTCAATTTCAATAGTTTTTTACTTCTCCTGTAAAATTTTTAAAATGTTAGATAGGGCCGTTTGCGTTTTAGGTGACGATATTAAAAATTGAATTAATTTTTTTTCTTCGTATAATTTGTAATAGAAGGAATTAAACAAATAAGAATGGTCATTCAATTGAATTCATTCCTATAAAGAATGAATTCTCTTTAGAATTAACTCAATCTATATATAAAATTCTAACGTTACTGACTCACTGACTGACTGATTCATCATCGCACAGCCTAAACGGTTGAAGCTAAAATTTGGACAGGAGATTGGTCTACCACCAAAAAGATATAAAAACTGTTATTTGCTTATTGTTCATTTAAAAAATAAGCGGAGAGGTGTCTGGTACTTTTTTCAAATTCGGTCCCAATAGGGAAAATTTTAAACCAGTGACAATACAAAATATATTTTTGAATATTTTAAACCAGTGACAATACAAAATATATTTTTGACTCCTTCATAACTTAACGAAAAAATAAAAATACGAATTTAGTAACTCAATCTATATTTAAAATTCTAACGTTACTGACTCACTGACTGACTGATTCATCATCGCACAGCCTAAACGGTTGAAGCTAAAATTTGGACAGGAGATTGGTCTACCACCAAAAAGATATAAAAACTGTTATTTGCTTATTGTTCATTTAAAAAATAAGCGGAGAGGTGTCTGGTACTTTTTTCAAATTCGGTCCCAATAGGGAAAATTTTAAACCAGTGACAATACAAAATATATTTTTGACTCCTTCATAACTTAACGAAAAAATAAAAATACGAATTTAGTACTTTTTTGGTATTCGGTCGTTTAAGGGCTGAAAATTGTACCCATTTTTGGTGCTTTTTGCATAAAACATTGTTTCTTATGTATTGATTTGTACATGTAAATGAATACTGAAGATGGCCTCCCACTATGATATTGCAACTTTTCGGAATAAAATGTTTATACTTCAATGGGGAGAAAAAAGTACCAAAAGGTGGAAAAAAGGGAACATTTATTTTAATACTCATTGACTCATTAATTAATAAAATTAGAGAAATTGGCAGATTTAGTAACACTAAATATGCCAATGGGGTATTACTTGGAACTCCTGCACAAAGGAATATTTTTTGGTACTTTTTAGTTTTTTAACTGGTACTTTTTGAGTTTTTTATAATATTGATCCTGGAAACATGAAATTAAACATGTGGAGCCCGGAGTTAATGAAAATCTATAAAGGAGAAATTTTTGGTACTTTTTCGTTTTTTAAATTGTATTTTTTTAATTTTCTATAATAATGAACCTAGAAACAAGAAATTAAGCATGTCGCGCCAGGAGTTAATAAGATCGTATAAAATGGGACTTTTTGCTACCTTTTCGTTCTTTTTATACCTACCATCAAAAAAGATGGGGGGTATATTGATTTTGTCATTCCGTTTGTAACACATCGAAATATTCGTCTAAGACCCACAAAAGTATATATATTCTGGGTCCTTATTCTAAGACGATCTAGCCATGTCCGTCCGTCTGTCTGTCTGTTGAAAGTCCGAACGGAATGAATTAGAGGGTTGAAATTTTCCACAAATATTCTCTATAGATAAGGTTTGTTTGGTATTGAAAATGGGCAATATCGGTCCACGTTTTCGGATAGCCCCCATACAAGTGGATCCACGAAAAACAGCTTTAACGGGCATATCTGTTTTAAAAGTACGAGTATTGCGATGAAATTCGACATAAATAAGTCTCATATGCGCCAAAATCTCCCTACCAAATTTTATGAGGATCGGTCCATAATTGACCCTACCCCCCATATAAGGTCCCCTTCGGAAAATCACTCCAACGCTCATTACTGGCTTAAAAATAAGAATATAGCGATGAAATTCGACACACATAAGTTTCATGCTAGTCAAAATCTCTACCAAATTTTATATGGATCGGTCGATGATTGACCCCACCCCCCATATAAGGTCCCCTTCAAAAAATTACTTTAACGCTCGTTACTGGCTAAAAAGTACGAACATAGCGATGAAATTAGACAGACATAAGTTTTATACGAGTCTCTACCAAATTTTATGTGGATCGGTCCTTAATTGAACCTACCTCCCATATAAGGTCCCCTTCGGAAAATCACTATAACGCTCATTACTAGTTTAAAAATAAGAATATAGCTATGAAATTCGACACACATAAGTTTCATGCGAGTCAAAATCTCTCTACCAAATTTTATGTGGATCGGTCCATAATTGACCCTACCCCCATATAAGGTCCCCTTCACAAAATTACTTTAACGCTCATTACTGGCTTAAAAATACGAATATAGCAATGAAATTTTACATAAGTAAGTTCCTGACTAGCCAAAACCTCTTTACCAAATTTTATGTGGATCGATCCATAATTGACCCTACCCCTCATATAAGGTCCCCTTCAAAAAATTACTTTAATGCTCATTACTGGCAAGTATAGCTATGAAAATCGACACATATAAAAAAATTACTTTAACGCTCATTACTGCCTTAAAAATACGAGTATAGCAATGAAATTTGACATAAGTATGTCTCTTACGAGCAAAATCCTCTTTAGCAAATTTTATGTGGATCGGTCCATAAACTACCGCCCATATAAGGTCCCCTTCAAAAAATGACTTTAACTCTCATTACTGGCTTAAAATTACGAGTGTAGAGATGAAATTTGACATAAGTAAGCTTCTTACGAGACAAAACCTAAGAAACTTTTATAGGAACGTAAAACTTCCTACCGAATTAAAAACGGAAAGTGCTGGGAACTGATATTCGATGTAAACATGTTTTATATGAACCAAAATCTGTCTAAAAAATTATGAAAAATGTTATGAAAAACGGTCAATAATTCACCCTTCCTCTCATATAAAGTCCTCTTTAGTAAATTTAATGAGTAATATCACCCTGATGTTTATAGGAGAGCATTCCTTTTACGGCATACGGTTTGATGGTGGGTCGGCATAGCCGAATATAGCACTCTTACTTGTTCGTTTTTTCACTGGTACTTTTTGAGTATTCTATAATATTGAACCTAGAAACATGATATTAAGCATGTCGAGTCCGGGGTAAATGAGAATCTATAAAAGGGGATTTTTTTGTCCTTCGACTAGTATTTTTTTGAGTCTTCTATTAAATTGAACCAGAATCATGAAATTAAGCATGTAGAGCTCGGAGTAAATGAGAATCTCTAAAAGGGGACTTTTTGGTACTTTTTCGTTCATCAAAAGGTACTTTTTAATTTTCTATAATATTGAACCTAGAAGGACGTAATTAAGCATATAGAGCCTAGATTAAGTGAGAACTTTTAAAAGGAGACTTTTTGGTACTTTTTCGTTCTTCAAACAGTACTTTCTGCTTTTTTTATAATATTGACTTTTTGATATTGCAGATATACGATCAGGCTAGCGAAGCACACTGGGTATAGCTTGTTGAATATAAAGCCAAGGAATTCAGCTTTAGAATTTAAATGCAAAGAATGAGTTTAAAGAATGGTACATTCAAAAATTTAAAGCGAATTAAAAATATAAGGGAATTAATTCCACATAGAATTCATTCTTTCCAAGCTTTGCCTGTAAATATTAGTAGTTTTGTTTCTAAAAAAAAAGCCTACGAGGATACGTCACTGCGTCTACTATTAGTTTTCACAAAAAAATTTCGTTTGTGTTAAAAACAAAGTTCGAAAACAATATGTCAAGGCTAAAAAGTAAGTACTTACATAATATATTAATTCATTACTAGATTCCCCCTATATATATGTTGAGTAAGTACAAGTCATTACCATGCTGGGTAGGTGCCGACTGACAGAAGGCACACATAGGTACTATTTCACATTTCCATTGCTTTTTATTCGTTGGTGTCAACCTTTTTTTTTCGTTTAATTAATATCAAGTTATTGGCGTATGGGTCAAAACAATAATATACTGACGATATGTAAAAATTTTCATCATACCAGAGGCAAATCTGGCTAATCCATCTTTATACATATAAATACGTAAAGGGTTTATAGAGGTCATAACCACATATATGCGCATATCAAATTTATTGTCATTTATTAACAATGGACGTTCTATGTACCTACAATAAAGATTTATATTATGAATGATATTGTTTTAAAGTTTAAAGTTGGAATATACTTTTGTACTACTAAGGGTCTATCTTTGGGAAACTGGGACCATTTATTTACAATACTAATTCCGGTGCCTCTAGCACTAGCTGGTGGTTTAACGATCCATTTGGCTTGCCTTGATGCGTTTTTGGGCCAAACTTGCCTTAGATCTTCTATATCATCTGGCATAATGTAAGATCTAAAATATGGAAGATTTATAATTATTATTTGTTCACTTGGAATAATATTTATATTCAATAGTCTCTATCTTAAATAATTTAAGTTTTTAAGGGAGATTTTTCAATTTTATCTTCTACAATATATTTTTACGACCATATCATAACCCCTTATATAATTACTAGGGTTTTCAATTCGATTTATTCGACAAATAATTATTTGAGGTTTTATGTTTTTCTTTAATGAATTGAAATTTTTCTTTAATGAATTTAAATTTAATTTCAGACTTACGCCCATTTTCTCAATGTCTTATTTTTTATCGAAACGATATTTTGACAGTTTTCATACCAAAAATATTTTAACCGGCAGAATATCTACCGGTTAAACGATGAATGAGATTGTGGCCTTAATCTTTTAATATTTTGTAACATTAATATTACATTAATATTGGAAACAAATTAAAGTCGGTTGTCTATTAGACAAATTAGAGCTTGTTGAAGTCGTAGCCCGATTTCAATGAAATTTACTGGAGATATTTTCCTGAGTTTGTACATTATTTCGACTAATTTTTTTCAAATTATATTCATAATTGTGACCTGTGAAATTTCGGATAAACGGACATTGCACTATGAGCCAGAGAGTGATGCTGTGATAAGGAATGTAACAGAAATCAATTATGTATATTTAGCTAACATTAGAAATTATCTGTATTGAAGTTAAAAATATTAAGATTTGAAAATGTCACTGCAATGAAAAAATAATGCACTATAGCTTGAAAACAACTAATGTTATGCGAAAATATTCCTCAACTAAAATGTAGGAAATACAATTCTCTATAGAAATTATGATAATATCAAAACGTGCACGACGCATAACCAAGATATTTATTTGGTTTTATAACGAATTTCTTTGATTTTCACACAGAAGAAAACTATTTTCTAACAAACACTTTATGGAAATAAATTAATTTGCAGTAAATATTTTTATTTTATATATGGAATACAACAATAAAAAATTTTTTAAATGTATTAAAAATAACTATTACTTGGTTTATAAGATTTAGGCCCATTATTATAACTTGCCAATAACTAATGTTAGGAAGTTATTGTACAGATAATGTGTTTTTCGTTATTACAAGTCAACTTTAGCTAAAAGTCTCCGATAGGCTCACGGGAACATCACCTTTCCTTTATCTTTTAAGGTAAGCTTTAGGATTTTTTTTAAATATTTATAAAAAATAAATTCAATGTCATTTTTCATATGAAAAATATTATTAACGGCTAAAAGTATGCTACGGATTATGTTGTAATGTACTGAACTTAAATAGCAAAAAAAAAAAAATGAAATAGAATAGAATGTGAAATAAAGTTGTTGAAAGTATATAAGTACTTTTGTCTACAAATTTTAATTTTATAGAATTAGTAAAATGTTTGTTAAAATTCAATATATATTTTTTAACAAAATTTTTATAGATTAAATAAGGAATTTTGTGTATTATTATTGCCAAAATACAATAAATAATTTATCTGTTGCAGACAAAATAATTGCTTGAATTTCAGTGCAAATACAAATAATTTGGAATGTAAGAGGGCATAACAACCAAAAAATTTTAAATCGACTTTTTTATTTGAAATGGTCTACTGCTCAAATTAAGGAAGTAAGGAAGTCCTAAAAAGTAACATAATAGACAATGTCTGGCGGTACAGTTATGTTCCAACGTGTTTATTGATGTTGGGATATAATACTTGTAAGATAATGTCGTTTTATAACGATTTTTAAAGCATTTCAGGTGAATATGAATCTTTTATCTATGTCTGGATGACGTTATCTCCCACTTTTTATACTTTTTGTTATAAAATTTACTACAGATTAGCGAAGCACATTAAACATGAATTATCAACAAATATGCCACAAGCGAGTTATAACTTCATTCCGGCTAGATTGAGCATTTGGACCACTGTATTCTGAACTTGATCTTACGTAACGAACTGTGCAATAGATTTTTTATGATTCATACGCAGACGAACGACGAATATTGTGTTACCACTGTTTTCTTTTTGTTTTAAGAATTGTTTTCTTTAATATTTATTGTATATAAATTATATTAATACTATTCTTATTAATGGTCCACTGCATCAAAATAAATGTTCTCGCAACTTTTTCGACTTTATTCACATGAAATTCAAAAGGGAGTAACAACAAATTAGTCATTTCCAGAAGTCCTAAAATGTAAGATAATAGACAGTGTCTGACGACACACTTAAATGTTTGAATATATGTTTATTGATGTTAGGATATAATGTAGGAAAATGACATTTTTACAACGACAATAGCATTCCTTTTTTATTTTTTTCTCTCCAGCAAAATTTTTAAAATGGTTGTTACACCTTTTTGCGTTTCAAGTTACGATATTTATGTATTCATATTAAATTTTTATTCAATATGAAAATTAAGAAAAAATTAGGAAGGGAATTCGCAGTGAGTAAATTTAAATTGTGTTCCAGGCGACGGATTTACGCAACAATATTTTTGGTAGCATGTTGATAAAGTTTAAAATAATAAATCATTTTAATTTTAATTACCTCTGCATAAAGCCAAACTCTTTATTACCAAACTTTTTCATATTATGTTGTATGCTACGCCACATGCTGTCCTTCCGTCCAATGCGAAAAGAACCTGGCATATGATTGTATTTCTGATGTGAACGTATTGTTCGAAAACCAGGACTTTTCATATGTTTTTCCCAAACTGCCATCCAGTCGGTGGTGTCTAACATAAAATTATAGATACTTTTTAAACAAAAATTAGATATTTATACAAAGCAATTCATACTCTTTATAATGCGAAATCCCGAATTTAAAACGACCCGTTTAACTATTTTCGGCATAACTGGACTTAATTTCCACTTTAAGATTTTGTGTAGTTGTGGTGGCATGGCAGGACCAGGTTTTGCATGAGAGGAGAAATTTAAGTACGGAGGCACATTTGGAAAAAGACTTGGCGATAATATGCACTGGGGTGTTTGATATTCATACGTCCTAGTGGTTGCAGTATATTCATTACTTTTTTCTGTATTCTCCCCAACTAAAATGGATTGATAACGTATATTTTTACTTTGTTGTGTTTCAGCGCCATCTTCGGCAAGATAAAAGGGATCCCCGGTATATTCCTCTTCTGAGTCACTATCAGTATATGTGTTAACGTCATCAATAGCTTAAAAAGAAAAATAAAATATTATTGCAATGAAATCCAAACATTTTTTTTTAAACTTATTTACCGGCACAAGGATCATCATCTGCCAAACCGTTTATTTTAGAATGAGCCGCCGCGTCACTGCTGCCACTGTTTGCTAAAGAAACACCAACATAATTACAATTATCTCCCAAACTTGTTTGTATCATACCGTGCATTTGGCTATTATAATTGTTATTACTATTTCGTGCATCAGGTGTCAAGTAATTGGCGGCGTAAAAACTCGCCTCATAAGCGGAGACCGATGATTGTGGGCTGGTTAAACCATTTTGTGTTAAAATCTGTTCTTTTTCATCGTAATGATGGCCATTAAGCAGGCTACTTGCGTGGAATTGATTTACAATGATTTTCGTATTATTCTTAGCGGGAGATGAAGAACTAGAAGTGTTTAAATTACTATTGGAATTGGAAGCTGCAGTTATAGTTTTTGTGTGATTGTTATTGCGTGCCCCACTTGCTATCTGACTATTGTCAGTGATAGGCGATGAGCTGTGACCTGTACGCTTGGCATTTCGAGGGTTGGGATATTTTGTCCCACTAGCCGTTTTAGATGGCATCTCTTCTCGTGGTCTCTTTAAATGCAACTTTAGTGAGTTAGTAAAGCAAAAAAAGGGAAGCGGTATGATGTGCAAAAACATATAAAAACACACACATAAACAAGTGATGATGAAGGTTGTTAATAACAAATCGTAAAAATTTTATTAGAGTAGACTGAGTTAGATATATTAAACATTTACATATGTATATACAATATTTGATTTAAAATAATTTAAAGTACGTTCCAATGATAATATTACATAAAAATAAGAGAAACAACATTTTGACAAGGAATTACTTCAGATTCGTTTAATAAAATATAGCGCTCATTAGCAATTAAAGGGTCATAACTCAAAATCTGTACTGAACTTAGTACCATAAAATTACCTTCATATCAGACAGTTTTATCCTTTGTAAAAGGTCGGCATGCCCCAGTAGTCGGCACATTTTGAATAAAAATTTTAATAAATAAGAAAAATACCCAGGATACTTCTAAACAAGGAAATAATTCTTTGGAACTAGTTATATCTACATTAGGGTGGGTCTCGGATCAACTTCTAATTGTGAAATTATGTTGTACTTTAACGTTAAATGAAATACTGCGAATTATTTTGAGGGTCAGAGCCCGAGTATCGCCTCCAATGTTTTTAAATGCGTTTATATGGGGAAAATGGCACTTTTTCGATTTTTTAAAATGAGGTTTTAAGTATTAATCTTTGCACCATTTAATATTAAAATCGTAATGTATATGTATTTTGCGTTATTAAAATTTCCCCCCAAAATTTTGTGGTTCTGACGACACATAAATGTAAATAACTTAATTTTACAAAAAATAGAGTCAAATTTCGTAAATCCCAACGTCTCACTTCACCTAGCAATTGTTAAATTTCTATTTTGTAAAACACATCATTTTGACAGGTGATTGTTTGCGTTAGAACAAGTTTCGTTATTTGAAAAAATATATTTTGTAAATATAATCGAACACCTATGTTATTCTGGCGTTTGCTCTGAAATTTTTGAAAATAAAAAAATTGTTTACATTGAAATAAACATATTCTTATGTACCATGATGTAATAAGTAAGGTGAGAGCGTTTCGGCAACAACCACAACAAACACAATGTTTGTTTGTTGTCTAGAGTTGGGTTTTTTCAAAATGAAATTTCTAAAATTGAAAAATAATAAACATTGGAAAGAAATAGTTTTTATGTATTTCACAATATTACCTATAAAACCGTCGATACATTTAGCTTGTATCTCCAGCAGGACAATGTTTTAATGCTTCTTCATCTGAATTTTCTTATTTGAAAACTTTTAATGAACATTTTAATTCATAATTTTAAATAATTTTTTTTCTTTGCTTTGAAAAACAAATATAATTTTTTTTAGAATAAATTAATTTATTTTGACACAACCCAAACACTTTTTAATTAAACAAATAAAAATCAGCTGCCTTAACGGTTTCACCTTACTTAGTGCATCCTGTTATGTACATTTCATAACATTCTTTGAGAAATGAGTTATATTGGAGCTACTCGACCCCCTACAGGAGAGGACGCAAAATGGTATGTATTTCTGTTGATACTACATTGGATCGCATGCATCTGAAATTAGAGTACTTATATCACCACGTGTTTTATTCTGAATTTGTAGTCAAATGGCGAGTGGACGACACTACACATTGCACATTGGGGCAGCTATATGGGGAAGGTTGGCGATAATTCAATAATTAAAAATTATATTTACAAAGAAAAATTTATATTGCTGGACATTTCTCTCCATGCAACCCCGTCATTAGTTTTTTCCTGGACATTGTTTTCTACCCTCAGGCGGAATTAATTACCATTTATAACTGCAAAAGTTTATCACTGAGAGAACCCTTTATATTAGATTTTTTTGATAAGTGGTTGAGAGAAACCGAAAAGAAAAACAAAATGACTCGCTACAATTGATTTTTATTTTGTAAACATTTTTGAAAAGGTCTGCTTATGATTTTTATTTTTAAAAGCAAAACAATAAATCGCAAATGTAAATACACGATTAGGACACACATACACACATACTATCTTCAGAAATCATAGCAAACAACAACAATATACTCTCCCACTCTCATATAAGCAAGAGAAAAATGGAATACAAAAAGGGGACAAAACTCAAAAAATGTTTGATTATTTTTTGCCTTTGTTTGAATTCAATATAAGAGACAATTGTCCAGATAGTAAACAAATGTATTTAAAAGTAAAGAAATTTAACCCAAAACAGAATAACGGTACTCCAAATGTCGAGTTTATTACAGAAAATTACAACTAATTTTTACCTGCTGCATGTTCCCTAATTTTGATATAATTTTCTTCTTTTTGTCTTTTTTAAGATTTTATTATATTTAATAATATCATTAACTTTTTTAAAGGTATGATTGAGAATAAGGTCTCCATTTCTTTTAAAATTAACCCTTAATTGTAAGTATATTTAAAAAGTTAGACATTTTTTCATGGAGTCAAAAACATAGAATACCACTTGAATAACACTCATATGATAAAATGATATATAATCTATTAGGATTATAAAATATTTTTTGCATCTTTTTGCATACCCCATACACATTTTTGCAAAAGTTCAACATGAGAGAGATGAAACACAAATATTTCCACGTTAGAATAAGAAATTAACATTATATAAGAAAGTACTAATTTTACCCGTTTTCCCATTTTTGTGCCTTTCTGGTCCAAGATAAATAAGTGATATAGTCTATTGATGTTTTCATAGCTTTATGTTTAATAATTTCAAAATTCAGAGTTTAGTTCCCCTAAAATTGCAAACTCTGACACTGTGGTTCGGTTTAAAATATTTGTAATCTTTAGTATAAAATTTTATGCTTCACTCAGAAAACGCGAACAGAAAACAATTTTTAAAGAATTATGACATTCTTATATAAAAGTTTTAATATCATTTTAAACTTTGTGCATAAATGTTAAAATATTTTATGCGTTTTAAAAGCAGATATAAACTAAAAGTTTATTAAAAAATAAAAAACCGGTAGTCGGACATGTCCGACCATATGATACCCTACAGCATGAGTATACTCATGAATTTTACATTAGGGTGTCATTGGAGGGATGTTGTTCATTTTTAACAACTTTGAACTACATCTAATCTTATTTTTAGAAGCAGAAAAAATCCGATATTTCGATGCCAAATTAAACCACAGTCTTTCAATGACACGCTTTTGTAAATTTCATTGTTTTTTCACCAAAACTTGATGTACTTCGAATATGTTATTTGTTGTGACTTTTCTGCACATCTTTTCTCACTTTTAACTGGGTTTTCATTTGTAAGGAAATATTTGGTTTATAAATGCACAAAATATGTAATCGCGTTTTTAGATGTGGTTAAGATGTCGTTTGTAAATTATTTTTTGCTGGGTAATGTATAATTCATAGGTTTTTCACCAAAATTGGAAGTACTTCAAGTATGTTATTTGAGTTGAAAATTCTACTTCTTTTTCCTCACTCAACTTTGCATAGGTATAAACAGTTACAAGGTTAAGCAATATATAATTTGAATTGTATGATTTGAAACGTTAGCTATAAACTACCCAACAAAAAATATTTGATGTCATACTTTACAAACGACATCTTAATCACATATAAAATAAGTTTTCACCCGAATTTGAAGCACTTCGGGTTACTAGTTGTGATGAAAATACTACATCTTTTTACGCACTTTTTTTGCTGGGTACCATCAAAAATTTATCAAAATTAAATAATTGAAAAAAATATTTTCTGGCCGGCCACTTAAGCTACAGCGCCCTCAGTTATAAATAAAATCATTAAGACATGTTTACATCGAATATCAGTTCCCGACACTTTCCGGTAGGAAGATTTACGTTCCTATAAAAGTTTCTTAGCTTTTGGCTCGTAAGAAACTTACTTATGTCAAATTTCATCTCCACCGATCCACATAAAATTTGATAGAGAAATTTTGGCTCGCATGGAACTTATGTGTGTCGAATTTCATAGCTATACTCGTATTTTTAAGTCAGTAATGAGCGTTAAAGTCATTTTCTGAAGGGGATCTTATATGGGGGATAGGGTAAATTATTTACCGATCCACATAAAATTTGGTAGAGTGGTTTTGGCTCGCCAGGGATTTACTTATGTCAAATTGCTTTGCTATACTCGTATTTTTAAGACAGTAATGAGCGTTAAAGTCATTTTCTGAAGGGGTCGGTCCATTATGGACCGATCCTCATAAAATTTGGTAGGGAGATTTTGGATCATATGGAACTTATATACGTCGAATTTAATCGCTATACTCGACCCTCTAGCTCATTCCGTTCAGACTCTATCGTGCTTTCAACAGACAAAATGACGGAAGGACATGGCTAGATCGTCTTAGGATTTAATAAGGACTCAGAATATATACATGACCAATATTTCAATGTGTTACAAACGCAATGACAAAATCAATATACCTATTTTGATGGTGGATATAAAAATAATCAAAATTAATCAAAAAATTAGTTGATTATTTTCAAGAATTAATTTTGATTTATTATGATTATTGAAATTTTCAGTGTCTTCCTGTATGTCTGGAAGAAGCTATAGGGTACTTTTTATTTTAAAATTTTTAGTGGGCGAGAAGTCACGCCCACATACAAAATAAGTATTAAAAGTAAAGGAATATTTGTGGACAAAATGAGCAGAATGGCTATAGTGGGCCTGGTACCTTCCGTATTAAGAAAATACTAAATCAGTATATCTGAGAAAATATAACAGACGGGCTAGCAGCAGTGAGTGCGGCACTCCCCACATGAATTAAATACAAAAATTCGTTTATCTTGGAAACTATTAGAGTTAAAATCTTCACGAAGAACTTTAACATCCATGTAAACTTTTTGGGTAATAAATTGGCATGAAGAACTTTAATATACATCTGAACATTTTAGGGAAAGGCCGGCTTGGAATCCCTATATGAATTAATTAGAAAAATTCGTATATCTGAGAAACTATTAGAGCTAGAATCTTCAAATTGTACATTCATGTGAACATTTAGCGAAAAATGGACGGACTTTCAATGGGGGGATTGGCACCTCCCATATGAATAAAATACATAATTTCGTATACCTGGGAAATTATAAAATTATTCAAATTTTTCAAAGGTTATATTAAAATCTTATTAACGTTTGGAAAAATCGGTGAATTCGGGAAAAATGGCATCTTCAATATGTAAAAAATTGTGTATCTGAAAAACTATTACAGTTAGAATGTTGAAACTCTTTTAGTATGTTTTTTATTTATATTGCTTTTAGGGTAGCAAAGCACTCTGGGTATAGCTAGTGAACAAAAAAAAAAAAAAAGGGAAAAATAGTAAAGAAATTAGGTCGATATCTCTCACATATTAGATTTTAATTTTGCGGATTTCGTAGAAAACTATTTTTTGTTAAAATTTTTGAAAAACAGGCTTTATTCTTTACTATTATGATTTTTATATAAAACTTTTAAAGAATATATAATTCAAGATAATAGGAAACATATGTACATCTGAAGTTTTAGTAAAATCGAATAATGTTAACCCAAAAACGGTAAAGGTCAAACTCAAGCTATGCAATGTTGGTAAATTTTCTTGAAACAATAGTAAAATATTATTTAGTTTTCAACTGATTTAAATGAAACTTAGGCAAAATATATAATGAAGGCCCGTATTTATGATGACAATTTGAATTAACCCTTAAACGTAAATATATTTTTATAATTATATAAAATGTCCGTAATATATGAGCAAAATATTCGATGGCATTTTGCGAGAAAATGGTGGGTGATAGAAAAAACAAATATCAGATTCTAAGGTGGTTATGGCCACCGTCTTGCAGTGTTGTTCACATTGAAAACAAACCCCTATATAGACACTTCAAAAGATTGATATAACCACCTCGTAACTTGAGGATCACTATATTAACCGCTTGGATTGACTCCAACAATCAACAAAGTGGAATCGAACCGAAAATATTTCGAATATGCCAAAAATACATAAATAATAATGAGATTTCCAGTGCCCCATGACCTAGAAAAGCATTAGGCTACGATGAATGAAGAATGTGTTAAAATTCACTCATATTTTAATGGAATTTAATAAAATAAATTCTTTTGCATTTGTCATTAAAGCAAAAGTTGGTACCAATTAATGCTGAAATATCCACGCGGAAAATAGAAAATATCCATAGTTACAAAAGGGTTCACAAAAAAATTATAAATTTTTTTTTACTCTTTTTCTATATAAATCGCATTTAACTTCATAATTTTTTAGGACGTAATATATTTAAAAAATAAAGAATGAAATGTTTATCTTGATGGAAGAATTTTTTATTCTAAAAATATTATAATTTAGTATTTTTGTGAACAGCTGTGGAAGTCACTGTATATTTTCAAAGGATCAACAGGAACTACATAAATATCATGAAGCAAAAAAATGTAGCGTTCAACATGTATCGTTCGAACATTACACGGTGTGACATAATTACAAAAATTTAATACACTCATCGTGAGACCTAGTGAAGTTGGTAGGTCTAGTAGAGTAGATTACAGTACCATTTTTAGAATCTTCAATATACCCTAAAAATCGGAAAATATTGGAAAAAAATGCTTTTTTTACTAGACCGACTAAAAAATTATATCTCAAAATTTTTTTAACCGATTTAATATTTTTTAAAAGTTGTTGAAAAGATTTTCCTTTGTACTTTTCAAAGAGTACACATACTTTTAAATTTTTTACGAAAATGTGTAAAATATTTTGACTCACACTTACTTCTTTTGAAAACATTTTTTTTTAATTTTTTTTATTTTAGCTCATACTTTTATGAATAAAATAAGATATGAAACATTAAAATCGTATAAAAAGTGACAAAAATAGAATTTTTTTCCTAAAAACAAAAATTCTCTCTTTACTAAGCATCAGTTCCCGTAGCTCAAATTTGCTGAAATTTGGAAGTTATGAGTACACCAAAGGAACATATAATGTAATGTTCGAATATTCGAAGTTAAATTCAAAAATTGTAAATAAAGTTCGAAAATTTTTTTATGGTTTTAAAATACTCTCTGACTCATAAAAACCTAAAAACGAAAATCTGAATATTGTTTTGAGTCTACTTAAATCTAATCCTGTACTATGGTGGCAATTAAGTTCGAAACATGTTTAATGGTTTTAAAATAATCTTTGAATAATAAAAATAAAAAAACTTAAATATGTTTGAAAATTATTTTAGTCTATAAAAACTAGTGTTCGAATTTCCGAAATTAAGTGCAAAAAATTTTACAATAATCTATGGATTAAAATCATTATTTATTTTCGAAAATTCAAAATTTTGTTTGGAATACAAAAAATAATATTGGAAAATAATTTATTAATTAAATGTGCTAATATATAAAGGTCAACAAACTAATAAAAATACTGAATATCGAGACGTCAGAAGAAATATGCCGCAAACTTAAAATTTTCAATAAAGTAAATTATATAAAAGTTTTTAAAATTACGTGCAGATTTTATCGATTTTAATCTAAAAATCATAAAGAAGTACAAAATTTTCTTAAGAAAATTTCAAAAATGTTTTAACAAATAGAAAATAAAATATATTATGTTTGAAAAAATAAAAATTAAAAAATTCATACCATTCAATGAAAGCAGTTCATAATATTTATGCTCAAACTTTTTTCTGTGTACAAAAAAAAAAAAAAAAAAAAAACCCATGTTGAATTTGATACATAATACCAATAAAATTTAAATTCGACTACGACTACGACGATTGTCGATTTTCAACTACGACATACATAATAAGGGTGTTTGTAAATTTTTGTTTTTACAAAAAAATCTATTTTAGTCAGTTTTTATCTGATTTCAAAGTTCCATATCTTATTTTACTCATAAAAGTATGAGCTAAAATAGAAAAATATTTAAAAATTATGATTTCAAGTAAAGTGTGTGTCAAAAATGATCTTGAATTGTAAAAAACAAAATTAAAAAAATATAAAAATTTGTATTTAGATCTAAATATTTTACAAATTTCCGTAAAAAATATAAAAGTGTGTGTACTTTTTGAAAAGTACAAAGGAAACTTTTTCCAAAACAGATGAAAAATATTAATAAATTCGTTAAGGCGTTTTTTCCAATATCTTCCGATTTTTAGGGTATATTGAAGATTCTAAAAATGGTAAAATGATCTACTCATCTAGGTCTATAAAAAGCATTATATCGCGTAATGAGTGTTTTTGAGTGTCACAGTGTTATTAAAATTTAAATTAAAAAAAAAGTATAAATTATTTTTGGTTAAAATTATAACCATTTCAAACAGATATCAGTTAACAACATTTTAATTAGTCTCATTGAAATACGACCTTCGAAGTCAGGCTTCGCTGACGTTTGAAGTTTGAATTGTTGCCAAAAAACAATTTCTATTTATGTAGCGTTCGAACATCCTGTTGCAACTTATGAATGCAACCTGAGACGAATATAAAAAAACGTAAACCCTGGTCTTTGGGTTTCGTTTTTTTTAAATTTTTGTTGGCCTTTTTAAAGGCAAAGTTTTTCATGTACTAAAAAAACAAAATATGGGCTTATAATATACACTATAAAATGGGCAAATATGCACTAAATAAAATTTCAGTTGTTATCACCAATGTTTCTTTTATAGTATTTAAGTACATATTTTTATATATTTAGAATTTAAGTTTTTAACAACAAATATATAGGTTCTTAATGACTCTAATACCAGACTCTAAACCAATTTATGTATAATTTTGATTTAATTCCGTTATATTTATAAAATTGCCCTAATATTTATGGTTATGTTTATTATGGTTACTACATCTTATGGAATTTAGGCCAGGTTATTGAATATTGTTAAATAAAAAACGGCTGATCGACAAAAACGGACTGTCCAAAAACATGAATAAATTATTGACATGAAGTAAAAATTCCGTTCCGTATTTAAACAGTTTGGTTCATTATGTGTTGACAATTCGATTTGACTTATTTATTTATTTATTTATTCAAACAAGTAATATAAAAAGCCACAATAGGCCAATCAAACTATATTACAATGGCAACTTAATGTTGTTTCTCACTCAATCTCACCCACAATTAACATAACATAAATAAATATTTTGTCAAATAAAAGTGTTACTCACCTGATTTCCAACGCCAGACTCTGCTGCTGCCTCAGCTAACGTTACTGCCACATGTACTCGTGACTTATTTTCATATGAAATACTTTTTTTTGCATTATCGCTAATACCAATAACATTCGCACCGCTGCAACTCGCCTGCTCACTGGCTGCTGCGATTGATGATAACGATGACGTTATTGGATTTCCAACATTGTTGTCGGCAACAGGGTTGTTGTTATTGTTGTTATTGATGTTACTGTTATGCTGTTTTGACACATGTGAGCATTTATTGGCACTAACACTATTGGCCATTTGCAATTGACAACCTTGTGGCGTATGTGCATGATTATGTGAACCGAGCAATTGTTGAGGAATATGTTTTTTAAGATATAATGCATCTTTATACATTTCCACTTCTTCACGCCACGATTCATGAAAATCTAATATTTCTAAGCCCTTCTTGCTGCTAGTATTGCTGCCACTCAGACGATGGCTGGCAGCATTTTCTTTGGCATGTTGATGATGGTGGTGGGGATGACCATGACTATGGCCATGGAGGTTTAAGGCAGTTCGTACAAGAGACTGGGCTGTTCCCCTAATTGCAGTTGTTCCACCACATCCGCCATTACCTTCTATAAGCACTGACGTTGAAGATTGAGTTTGCTCCTGTTGATGTTTTATTACACGCTTTTCGATTATGGGTGCCATATTAGTAATTCTCAACTCACTAGTACTTTGGTTTTCTGAAATTAAAATCACCGAATCACACAATTTATTTCTGGATCTATTTAAAATATTACAATTTTGTATTTTTCCTTTTCATTAAATTGTAGATTTTTCTTCAATATTTTTTAATTTGTATCTTGTTTTCAATTTTAATGTTTATCCGTTCTGCCACAACTTAAAAGTTAAAAAATGCAACTGCAACTGAATTAATCTATTTTAAATGTGGCACAGACCCAAATTTTCTACTTTTTACTAAAGCTCTCTATACAATTTGATTGCGCTATTATGCTGATATAAAAGAGCGAGCGAACGCATTGCTAGACATTTTGCTTATATTTTCTACAAAAAAAAAAAAAAAACAACAAAACGAAAAACACTAAAACATCCGTCCATCGATCGATGATCAATCGAATATTTTGATTTCGTTTTATTTTATTTAAGATTTTTCGTTATTTTTTATCTTTTAAGTGGTTGTATGACCACATGCACATGCATTCACTATCATCCTAAAGGGTCATTACAAACATTAAAAAAATACAGTCACTAAAAGCAAATAAAATTAAATAAATGAATAAACAAACGTGCTTTAACTGCATCTGAAAAGGGAATGTTTCCGATCACTTATGTATGTACCTTAGAGGTTCCCAAAAATATAGATTTTTTTGAATGGGTAAGTCTAAGACTACTTGTGCAAAATTTTATCCTAATCGGAACAGTATAGATACAAAATGTAATAAAACTTACTGAAAATACGGACGGAAAAGTGAAAATAGTATGGTTTTTTTAAATTTTTTGAACATTTTCGAAACGATTGGATTTTTTGTTTTATCTGAGTTTTCTTTTTATTTAAACACAGAAAAAAATGAAAATTTTTGTTTCTTCTTTGAATCTTTTGGAATTAATTTAATTTGATTTATTTCAATATTAAACCTAGCTATTGGTCATAATCGGTTACAAATTTCTGCTTCCAAATAATAATTCAAGATGCCAATTCCCTAAGATCGGGTTTTTGAGTTGGAAATCAAATGCCAATGAATAATCAGATTAGTTAATCTAAAAATAAATTTAATCCGATGTTAATCCCATTTCAATTTTTGAGTACAAGATTAAACTTCACAGTGTTTCCATACAAAACAACAGAAAACGTCACTGTTTGTTATCAAAACAATGCATGTTTTTTTAAAAAAAGAAGAAGACAATTTAAATTAAGAGTGTGTGCCAATCCGTAACAATGGCTGTGTGCCAAACGGTAGCAAAGTTCTATGGTAAAATAAAATTTATTTATGGTGGCAAATATTATCACTTTTGCTGTAGATTTCTAGCCAAATCTAGTTGATTTCCCATACAAAACAAAATCTATTCGTAACTAGATTTCGTTAAAATCTACTCAAAATCTAATAGTTTTTACAGATGCAACTCTGTTTTTCCCTAAATAATACTAAAAAATACGACGCTACACCAGAAAAACGAGAAAAGCAAACCAAAAAAAAAATTAAAATGTCAACATTTTAATAAATTGAAAAACATGAATGAAAGTTTATTTAAAATAGAAGGTAATGTTATTTTTAAATATCTAATAAAATGTTAATAAATGTCCCATTTTTCCTTCTTATTTTTCCTTCTATCTATTCTATCAAAAATTTACATTTTCAAGTAAATTGTTACCGATTGGAACACACTCAAAGATTTTAAATGAAATCTACTAGATTTCGTGTATGTGTAAATGGGGTATTAATAATAAAAAAATCAATAAAAGTGTTTCTTTTATTAAAATAAATGCAGATTTTCTTGTGAAATTAGTGACAATTGTCAAAATTTTATGTAATCAAAAAAGATTTCGTCTGGCACAGCAAAAGTGATAATATTTTCCACCATAAGAAAATTTTATTCTACCATAGAACTTTGCTACCGTTTGGCACACAGCCTTAATATGAAAATTAATGAAAACTTAATTTTAAAACAAAAAAATGTTTTTTGAAGTATCCGTAATTTATACTAATCTATAAATAGAACATTTTTGCATCAGCTGTTTACACTTCTGCATTTCATGCTTAAGATTAAACCACCTCCATTGGCTGCTTAACTTGCAAACAAAATTAACTAATTGAGTACTCAAAAACAACATTTGAGGATTAATTTTAATTTGAACGCTAATCTTTCACCTAAAGATTGGTCCTAAGAGTTCTTATGTACCCTTTACCATAGTGTGTTAAAAAACAATCAGCATTTTATTACAAACAAATAAGGAGTCTACATTCGCCTTTGCCGAATCTTCTATACCCTTCACCATAGTGTTTAAAAGATTAATTATATAAAATTTCATTATTTTGTTTATAACAAAACAAAAAGCAACACACCAAACGAAACAAATAAAATAAAATATGCAAAGCAATGAAACCAACATACAATATACAATGTTGTTTCTTTCTTTCAAAGCATGCAATCCCCTTATTACGAGTATCGTCATAGACGTTTTTTATTAAAAATTTCGACAGTCAATATAAAATACATACGAATTTAAATCGTTTTCGACATTCGTAATACCAATTTAACAAAACGGCTCATTTTCGACTACGACAACGCCTCTTGTAATATGGGCGAATAAATTGTCTTTTCTTCCACCCTTTCAGGGTCAAAATAATTTATGTCGAGAAAAAACTTGAAAAGTTATATTTATGGTAATTTAGTATGCCAAATCCGGAAAAAATAATATTTTTATAATTTTAGTTTTCCCTAGTGAGTTATAGAAGGTCAAAGTTAAATGTCAAATATATTCGACATTCGAAAAACAGCCACCAAAAAGTACCACCAATATTTTGTATGACTATTGGTTTGTAAAATGTGTTCTTTCACTCAATACAATACAATACAATTTAAATCTGAATAGTCCGATCTCCTAAAATATCGGACATTAAATAAAGCACTTTTTCAAGAGTAGTCACAAGTGACAATTTCTTAAAACCTGATTTTAAGATATTTTAAAAATACCGAAGATCTTTCAAAATCCCAATTATAAATATAATAAAGTCTTAATTTGCATCTAAAAGAAAAACAAGTAAGAGTGTTATATTCGGCTATGCCGTATCTTATATACCCACCATCAAACCTCGTTTGACTCGAATGAAACTTACTTATGTCGAATTTCATCTATATACTCGTATTTTTAGGCCAGTTATAAGCGTTAAAGTAATTTTCTGAAGGGGACCTTATATAGGGGAGTAGGGTCAATTATGGGTCGATCCTCATAAAATTTGGTAGACAGAATTTGGTTCGTATTAAATTTATTTGTGTTGAATTTCATCGCTACACTCGTATTTTTAAGCCATTAATGAGCGTTGCAGTCATTTTCTGAAAAGGATCTTATATGGGGGGTAGGGTCAATCATAGACGGATCCTCATAAAATTGTTTAGATAGATTTTGACTCGTATGAAACTTACTTATGTCGAATTTCATCTATATACTAGTATTTTTAAGCCAGTAATGAGCGTTAAAGTCATTTTCTGAAGGGGACCTTATATGGGGGGGGGGGGGGGTAGGGTCAATTATGGACCGATAAATTATAAATAAAAAAAAATAAAATTTTGCATAGTGATTTTGGATCACAAGAAACTTACTTATGTCGAATTTTATCGCTATATTCGTATTTTTAAACAAGTTATGGCTGTTAAAGCTGCTTTTCGAGGGGCCACTTGTATGGGGGCTATCCAAAAACGTGGACCGATATTTCCCATTTTCAATACCAAACAAACCTTACCTATAAGAAATATTTATGTGAAATTTCAACCCTCTAGCTCTTTCCATTCGCACTCTATCGTGCTTTCAACAGACAGACGGACAGACATGGCTAGATCGTCTTAGAATTTAATGAGGACCCAGAATATATATACTTTTGTGGGTCTATGACCAATATTTCGATGTGTTACAAACGGAATGACAAAATCAATATACCCCCCATCTTTTTTGATGGTGGGTATAAAAAATTAAACTAAAGGTAAAGATTACACTAAAAAATGCATAAAAACATAGTCTATTGTAATGAAATTTTCAGAGGTTGTCTCGGATTTTTGGCCATATCTCTGTTATTTATGGACGGACTTTTTTAATTAGGAAACTTCACGAATGTATATCTGACAAAATTGTTCTCATGAAGGAAGGAGAAGGGTATAATAACAATACGGCTTTTTTATTTACTGACTAGTATACAAACTTGTTATTACCCAGACAATTGACTACATAGTGAATAATCTAGTACCAATATATGTACTAGCCTTTGGAGTAGTCCAATAACTAGTCTATGGACTATGCTATTAACTAGTTTGTTGAACTAATCTATTGACTATTCTTTACCACGTATTATCGTTTTACCTCATTTGTAGGTTATAATGAAACATTAACTGCCTTATGCAAAAACTATTATTAAGTTAACAATGGTTATTAAAACCACTTTTTACCTATATGGGAAAAGTGTGTAGTAAACCATTGTTAACTTTAATAATCGTTTTGCATAAGGCAGTAACTGAATAATTGAACATTAAAATAAATATATTGTGAAGTGGTGTAGTACCAAATAAAATTCATTGTTTAACATGAGGAATCCTGGATCTCTGCATCCTATATGATGGTATATGTCGATGTAAGAATATGGAGATACTACGTTTTATCCGAAATATCAGCTAAGTAAATCTTCTATCCTTCGAAATTTCTTCGATGGGAGGTTTTAAATTTTAGTGTCCCTATTATTTTGTTCAATAGCCTTTAACAAAGTTATTGTAAGATTTTTGTATGGGATGTAATTAATAAACCATACACAGAAAAAGTATCAGCATAAACCCTGGAAAAATTTCAGAACTTGTTCTGTTTTAAACTTATTTTTATGAAAATAGAAAACGCAATCTTATGTATGTGAATTATAAGGATTTAAAACTATACCTCCTTGAATTGTACCGGGAAAATGGAAAGTTGCTGGTTTTGTTTATCCCGTACAAAAAATAGTTTATATTATACGTGTGGCAGAATGATCATGAATTTTAAGATAATAAGACATTGGTATCTAAGTTTTCTTAATGAAATTGCTACAATATTAATAATTCCTTAACAGTTTCTCTAAATTGGTGCTTATCCGCTGAACAAATAACTGATTTTAAATTAATTAAGCTTATACGTCCTGAAAGCTTCCCTAGAACTAGTTCCGAGGTTGACAAATTCGAACAAAAATTATTGATTAAAGAACTAGTTCCAGAACTTCCAAAGAATGAGTGTCGACTCCATAACGCGTCCTCAGAACCAGTTCCGAAGGTGACAATTTCGAACAAAAATCACTGGTCTCAAAGCCTAGAACTACCCAGCAAAAATAATTGATGTCATACTTTACAAACAACATCTTAATCACATCTAAAAATACGATTAAATATTTTTCGCTTTTATAAACGAAGTATTTCCTTACAAATGAAAATCCAGTTGAAAGTGAGGAAAGAGTCGTAGAAGTCACTATAAATAACATATTCGAAGTACATCAAATTCAGATTAAAAACCAATGAAACTTACATAAGCGTGTCATTGAAAGAATGCTGTTTATTTTTGACATCCAAATATTGGATTTTTACTACTTCTTAAAATAAGATTAGATGTAGTCCAAAGTTGTCAAAAATGAACAACATCCCTCCAATGACACGCTAATGTAAAATTCGTAGGTTTTTCACCCGAATTTGAATCACTTCGGGTTACTAGTTGTGAAGAAAATACTACAACTACTTCCACACATTTATTGCTGGGTAATTAAACGATAAAAAACACTAAGAATTCTTGGATATAGGCATATCCGGGAATGCCGATTCTGACATACGCTAATAAAACAATTTTTTAGATATAAGTTGAAATAGTTACGTTTTTAATGAAAGGGTTTATTTTCCTTTCACTTAACACTCAGTCCTATCTCAGCATAGCACTTACCCTCTTCCACATCTATTCTTTTACACAGACGATTTTGCAAATATATTTCTAAATGAGTTACTTCTTCCGTTTTACATTGAAATTTTTAAATAAAAAGAATTTGTTAGTTTCGTTTTGTAGGTATATTTCCAAAATTTTATTACAATAAGTTTTGATGATTTTAGAAAAACGTACTCTGTTTATTTTTTAAAACAATTCAATATACAATTTGGCAGTTGGCAACAACATCAAATTAACAGAGAAAGAAAAAGTGTGTTAGCCGATATTATTATACGGTTTTTATTAATTATTCACATATTAAACACAATTCAATAATTTCATATTATAAATAAATTTACTAACATTCCAATGTAACATCACCATTTAGGACAGGCCTTTTCTATTCGCTCTAGCCAAGCGTTCCCAATCTCATTCTATTTGTTTATTATCCTTTAATGATTTTGGTACAACACAGCTGTTCGACTGAAATGATAACTTAGAGATAGGCGCAATTTACATGAAGACTTTTTAGACGTCTGTTTTTGCGCACATGAAGAAAATAACCCGACGAAAAATAAAACAAACCGTAACAGCTGTTTTATCAAAATAAAAACTTATTTTGGTGGGGTGATTTATTTTTGTTTACAAATGGAAAATACGCAAAAAGTTTTTATTATTTACATAGTAAAACAATCAAAAAGTGTTAAACGACTTTTCACAAAAATCAAAAAAGTCGACTTTTCATAAATTTTGATATGGTAACATTTGTTTTCCCTGATTCACCACACTTTTGGTTTATAACACCAGGGATGGAAAATAAGATTTTATTAATTAAAACACGGTATAATAAAAAAGATGACTGCGATAAATCAGCTGATTATTTTTTATTTTTGTGTAGACTCTACGCTGTAGAGTGCAGCGTTGCCAATTTAGCGCTTTTGGCGCTAGATTTAGCGCCTTTTAACAATCCAAAAGTCGCATTTTTTCCTCTTAGCGCTTTTTTGGAAAAAGGCGCTAAATTAGCGCTTTTTTTCAAGAAATGAAAAATCTTTTTAATAACATAAAATTATTCTAGTTTAACAATAAAGATAAAACGGAATAATTTTAGACAGTACTCTGCCGTACAAATTTATTAAAGTTCCTTTTTCTAAACTTTCCATATTATGAGTAATTCAAAGATCTTTTAGTGTGATGAGTTATTTTAAAACTTTAAAACTAAAATAAAAAATATTCACCTTTTTCGCCAAAAGAATTGAAATGTGTTTCTTCTTAAATTTTCATTCCCTTCGAAGGGAAAATTGATTTCGTGAAATTCCACAACAGTTGATTTTGATCGTAACAGCTTTTTATTGATCAGAAAATTCTATAAAAATTCACAACAAGGGAAGTTTTTCACGTCAAAAAAGGGAAAAGTTGTAAATTAACTTAATTTTAGTTAGGTTAACTTGAACTTAAAATTAAAATTGCATTTCGTGAAAACTATTGATATTTTAATGTGAATAATACAAAAATAATTTTGATCGCACAAAGTTTGATTCACAAAAACTTAGCATTATTTTTTTATAACTTCACTGTGAAGGAAACAATTACTTGACGATTACTTCAGTTTTTTTCACAAAGTTTTGGCTCTTGGTATTTTTGGAAATGAAGAGTTTAATTAAAATTTATTACGGGGAATTTCAAAAAATCTCTTTGACTAGTTATTTAAATCTTGATCGATGATAGCAATTAGTCATTGAATAGGAAAATCCAACATATTTGTATTAACCTTAATTTTTTAAATTTCGTTCCCGAATCAAAATTCCAATTAAGGAGTAATTTTTTTAATAAAAAAATTTTAGCTAAATACTATATTTTTTAAGGCTGTGTAAAAATATAATTTTAGTGCGTTTCGAGTGAATGGACGGCGCGTTTTAGTATAAAATAGTTGACAACACTGGTAGAGTGTGCCTTGACTAGTTCTGCTATGACTTATACTTCGTTCACATGATGCAATTAATTTCCTTACATTTTTAAATCGCTTTAAATTTTTGAATGTACCATTTTTATGAAATCATTCTTTGAATTTAAATTCTAAAGTTGTCCTTGGCTTTATATTCCATAGAATTAATTCCTAAGAGAATTCATTCTTTATAAGAATGAATTCAATTGAATGATCATTCTTATTTGTTTAATTCCTTCTATTACAAATTGAACGAAAGAAAAAAATTAATTTTATTCAATCTATTTCAAATTGAATGGTTGAAAAATTTTAAATTCAATTTGTAATAGATTGAATTCAAACTAATTTTGCCATCCCTGCAGCAGACTATAAACAAAATTATTGGTTTACGATGATTTTTCTCCGTACATACATACATATACATACATACGTATATTTATATGTGCTAACACACATTCATATGTACATATGCATTTTTGCATAGAATTTAATTGAATATAAGCAGAATCGAAATAGAAAAATGTCAAAAGTTTATTTGATACCCGTTGCGGTATTTCTAATTTTTCAAGTTACTTTTATTGGAACGTAAGTAGATGGCCAGTTATATATAAATATTTTAAACATGATTGATGTTTGTTTTGACGCGAATTGATTTTGCATTCCATAGTTATATAGCGGCAGTTTTACAAGGTCATGTTGTACCTACAGTACCTTACATTAGTGACGCAGCCACCTATTCTCCGGAAAGTTGTGTTTTTGGTCAACTGATTAATATCGGCAGTGCATTGTGTGAGTGTAACATTCATATGAAAATGTTGGGACATTACAAATAAAAAATGACTCACTATATGTTATTGCACTTTTCTTATTTTACAGTGGGAATAACCATTTATATACGCTACCGTCAAATTCTACAATTATTTGAACATCATTCCGATTTGGGTAACAATTTGTTACGCTACAATCGTTTGGCAGTGTGGTTTGGTTTGGCGTCATGTCTAGGCATTAGCGTCGTGGGTAATTTCCAAGAGACAAATGTTCGTATCGTTCACTTTATAGGGGCGTTTTGTTGTTTTGGATTTGGTACCCTTTACTTTTGGATGCAAGCATTAATATCGTACATGGTATATCCCATTGCGGGTACAAAGAGATATGCTCATATACGCTTAGGCATGGCGGTGTGCTGCACTATATTGTTCATCTTATTGGCCGTGACTGGAGTCATGTCTCATATACTATTTAAAGGCTTAAATCCCCGAAAATGGTATTTATTTCATAAAGTAACATTATCATTTCATATCTTTACAAATATTTTTTCTTATAAGGTATCCATCTGATGGTGGTTGGTACTTCCACGTTATTAGTTCCGTCTCGGAATGGATAATTGCGACTGTATTCTCCTTTTATATACTTACATTTACGGATGAATTCCGTGATGTTGACATCGACCACCCTCAGTTACGTTTAATTTCTTATTCTTTAACTTTACAATAATAATTGCAACGAATTTTAATAATTATTTTTGTTTATTTTATACCATGATAAAAATATGATATTTTTATCATGTTTTATACATATAATATATAATAAATATTATTTATAAATTATGAATATATTTTATTTATTATTTATCTCTATAAGATGTGCTTTTTTAAAAGTTTCCTTTAGTTAATAATTTTAAAGCAAATAAAATACTTTCTTTAAACTTGTTTGAATTAAATAATATATAATAATACAATATTAATATATTTGTTAATATGATGACGATATTTTAACACTTCCGCTCACTTAAATAGGTTCACTGTTTTGTTTACATTCATAATATTTTTTTGTAAAAAATAATGGTCTAATTAGTTATATTGAAATTTTATATAATATGTCGATTTTTTATGTATCACTAATAAGACACAAATTGGCGCAAACTATTAAGTATTTTGAAGAATTTTTTGAAAATACGTTTTATAGTTTTTTTTTTTTGAAAAGTTTCATTCAGGATAAAATCAGTTTACTGCTGGAAGCGGGCATATATATGAATGGATTATTCATATTCTAGTGTCTGTTGAATATGGACAATATATTAAAAAATACGTTGCGGTAAGCGTTTTTGAGTACTGTCCAAAATCACAGGAATTTGACAAAAGATTTTGGCCGAATTCAGAATGTTATTAACAATTTTATAAGAAAACAGTAAATATGAAAAAAATTAATGGACATTAGTGTCCCGAGGAACAGCCTTTTTAAGAATTTCATGCAGGAATATCTCTCAATAAAAGCGTATTAATGTACTGAACACGAGAAAAATAAAAAATATTTTTTTTCGAATGTTCCTTAGTTCCCTATCAGCGCTACTGCAAATTGTTTTTGCTGGGAACTAGTAACCCGAAGTGCTTCAAATTCAGGTGAAAAACCTATGAATTTTACATTAGCGTGTCATTGGAGGGATGTTGTTCATTTTTGACAACTTTGAACTACATCTAATCTTATCTTTAGAAGCTGTAAAAATCCGATATTTGTATGTCAAAAATAAACCACATTCTTTCAATGAAACGCTTATGTAAATTTCATTGGTTTTTCATCAAAATTTGAAGTACTTCGAATATGTTGTTTGTAGTGACTTTTCTACATCTCTTTCCCCATTTTTAACTGTGTTTTCATTTGTAAGGACATGTTTGGTTTATAAAAGCGAAAAGTATGCGATCGCTTTTTAGATGTGATTAAGATGTCGTTTGTAAAGTATAACATCAATTATTTTTTGTTGGGTATAGTTTCAAGAGAATTTCCCAATATTTCATAGCTTGAGTTTGGGTTAACCTTATTCTATTTTACTAAAGCTTCCGATGTATCTTTCCTATTATCTTGAATTATATATTCTTTAAAAGTTTTATATAAAATGCATAACAGTAAAGAATAAAGTGTGTTTTTCAAAAATTTTAACAAAAAATAGTTTTCTCCGAAATCCTCAAAATTCAAGTCTTTGGTACCGCTAATATATAAGAGATATCGACCTAATTACTTTACTATTTTTTATTGTGCATATGTCACATGGAGATTTTCTTCAGATTTTGAAATGTATTAACAAAATTGCTAAAAGTTTGAAAATGGATTTTTGAAACTGCCGTCTGAAAGGTTACCCCAAATACGGTATATGCTGTTAAAATCCAAAAAGATAAATTTAGTGCCAAAATTTTTGTAAATTCGTTTTGCCCTTTAGAACCGTGCTGCTACCAGTTAACGTGGTCCTAAGTTTTTCCAGAATGCAGTTCTATAACTTTAAGTATACATAAGTATAGAGCCACATAGGGCCACTATTCGCAACTTCTACAAAATTACAGAATTTTGAATTTGTTACTCAAGTATACGGTCAGAAGGACTAAAAGATGAAAATGTGTGAAAATTGTTGGGTAATACGATTTTTTTATTTCAATATTCGGAATCAGCACACCAAATAAAAAATTATTTCAAACGTTTTTTCATCGTTGGTCTGTGTAATTTTTGTAATTTTAGTTAACAAATCTACACTAATTTTTTTCTTTTGTTATTTAAATAATTCGTGAATTATACTATACTTTTTCTTAAATTTTATAGAAAAAATTAAAAATCTTAACCTATTTTCAAACTTTAAATGGGTAAGAACTTCACCTTTCATGGTATGAAGGTTGTGGTTGTGATATAATGTGCACAGTGGTCAACTTATGATAAGCAGAACTGGTGCCGTGGGATGAACCAAACGTAATGTTACGGTGTCCAAATTAACAACCCATGCAGACACCATGAAAGATGTTGGTTGCTTAAAACAGCAGGACGGTGGACATGGGAGTCGTAATCCGCTAAGGAGTGTGTAACAACTCACCTGCCGAAGCAACTAGACCTAAAAATGGATGGCGCTTAAGTTGTATACCTATTAAGATGATCGATTATTCCACATTTTCCAAAAGCCGGGTTTCGAATAGTTGACATTTGAAAAAAACCGGTTGACATTTTTCAATTTCAGAAAAAACCGGTTAACCGGGTTTTCATTATAAATAACAAAATCTATTTTAATTTGAAAAAAAAAAAACGTTTATGTTTGAATTTGATTAATAAAACATGCCCCGATCCGATTTTTAACAGTTTAAAAGATTAAAACTTTAGATCTAGTCGTCTAATTTACATTATTACTTTAATGTAAAACAAGTAAGAAATTATAGTCGGGCGAGGCCGACCATATAATACCATACACCTGTTACAAAAAGAAAATGTGATTTAGTTTTCATAATAAAGCATTTAAGTTGAATTGTACCTTGCCTCAGATATACTTAAGCGATTTATTGTTGAATAAAATTGTGGACATTTAAGTCAAATTTTGAAGGGGTTTTTTATAGGGGCTAGGGTCAAATAAGGCCCCATATTATAAAATTCATGAGGGCCATTAAGGCTAGTATAGAACTTGGTTTTACAGTTTTTTGTCGAGATACGAGTATATTAAACATAATTATGTACTTAAAAGGCCTATTCGGCGGGTTCAGTTGTATGGGGGCTAGGTGATATAATGGACCGATGTTACCCATTTTCAATAGGATTCGTCTCCGGTACCATAGAAGATCATATGCCAAATTTCATTGAATTATCTCCAAAATTGCGACCTTTATTTTGATTACAAGGTTTACAAGCCCTATTCGGGGGTTCAGTTGTATGGGGGCTATGTAGGTTAAATAATGGATCGATCTTAATCATTTTCAATAGGCTTCGTTCCTTCTACAATAGAAGATCATGTACCAAATTTCATTGAAGTATCTTCAAAATTTCGACTTGTAGTTTGATTACAAGTTTTACATGGACGGACGGACGGACATAGCTAAATCGACTCAGAAAATGTATACTTTAAGATGGGTATAGACCAATATTATTGTGCGTTACAAACATCAGCACAACCCCAATATACCATCCCCACTAAAGTGGTGTAGGGTATAACAAGCTTATTTTGTGATCACTCATATTTTCCTTCTTAAAACGATTTTTTGGTCATAAATCATGAAAAAACTAAAATCAGTCATAATTTCCTTCAAAAATCGATTTTTTGGACAAAAATCATGAAAAAACTAAAATCGCTCATAACTTCGTTAAAACACGTTTAAATTAAAAAATAAGCTTATTTTGTGATCACTCATATTTTCCTTCAAAAATCGATTTTTTTGGAAAAAATCATGAAAAAACTAAAATCGCTCATAACTTCGTTAAAACACGTTTAAATTGAAAAATAAGCTTATATTGTGATCACTCATAACTTCCTTCATTAATCGATTTTTTGGTCAAAAATCATGAAAAAACTAAAATCGCTCAAAACTTCGTTAAAACACGTTTAAATTAAAAAATAAGCTTATTTTGTGATCACTCATATTTTCCTTCAAAAATCGATTTTTTGGAAAAAATCATGAAAAAACTAAAATCGCTCATAACTTCGTTAGAACACATTTAAATTGAAAAATGAGCTTATTTTGTGATCACTCATATTTTCCTTCATAAATCGATTTTTTGGACAATAATCATGAAAAAACTAAAATCGCTTATAACTTCGTTAAAACGCGTTTAAATTGAAAAATAAGCTTATTTTGTGATCACTCATAATTTCCTTCATAAATCGATATTTTGGTCAAAAATCATGAAAAAACTAAAATCGCTCATAATTTCCTTCATAAATCGATTTTTTGGACAATAATCATGAAACAACTAAAATCGCTTATAACTTCGTTAAAACGCGTTTAAATTGAAAAATAAGCTTATTTTGTGATCACTCATATTTTCCTCCTTAAATCGATTTTTTGGTCATAAATCATGAAAAAACTAAAATCGCTCATAACTTCGCTAAAACACGTTTAAATTGAAAAATAAGCTTATATTGTGATCACTCAAATTTCCTTCATAAATCGATTTTTTGGTCAAAAATCATGAAAAAACTAAAATCGCTCATAACTTCGTTAAAACACGTTTGAATTAAAAAATAAGCTTATTTTGTGATCACTCATATCGATTTATGAAGGAAATTATGAGTGATCACAATATAAACTTATTTTTAAATTTTAACGTGTTTTAACAAAGTTATGAACGATTTTAGTTTTTTCATGATTTTTGTCCAAAAAATCGATTTTTGAAGGAAATTATGAGTGATCACAAAATAAGCTTATTTTTAAATTTTAACGTGTTTTAACGAAGTTATGAGCGATTTTAGTTTTTTCATGATTTATGACCAAAAAATCGATTTATGAAGGAAAATATGTGTGATCACAAAATAAACTCATTTTTCAATTTAAACGTGTTTTAACGAAGTTATGAGCGATTTTAGTTTTTTCATGATTTTTTCCAAAAAATCGATTTTTGAAGGAAAATATGAGTGATCACAAAATAAGCTTAATTTTTAATTTAAACGTGTTTTAACGAAGTTATGAGCGATTTTAGTTTTTTCATGATTTTTGACCAAAAAATCGATTTTTGAAGGAAATTATGAGTGATTTTAGTTTAAAATTTAAATTTAAATTTATAAATCGATTTTTTGGACAATAATCATGAAACAACTAAAATCGCTCATAATTTCCTTCATAAATCGATTTCTTGGTTAAAAATCATGAAAAAACTAA